AGAGAGAGAGAGAGAGAGAGAGAGAGAGAGAGAGAGAGAGAGAGAGAGAGAGAGAGAGAGAGAGAGAGAGAGTGCAGGGACATAGGTGAGCATCTACTGGATTGGCAAGAGCGGTAATGGACACATATTTCAGAAGACGAGAGCCATTCATACTCGCCAGGAAACACCAACCAGCAATGTTCAGAGTGTCAGACTCTTCAGAGCAATTAGCGGCCTGGTGACTGATGGCGTCTCAACTCGCCAGTGGTTTACATTGATGCACTTTTCTCACCATACGAATGACAAATAAAAAAACTGAAGGATACACACTGCAGATTGGAAACTGCTTTCCTTGTGGTCCCCCCCCCCCCGTGATTTCCTGCCGTCTGTAGGGGACCTTGACTGCCTTGTTTTCTCCACCCGGATCCTTGACCGCCTTGTTTTTTCCGCCCGGGACCTTGACTGCCTTGTTTTCTCCGTCCACCTTGGAAAATTTCAACCGAAACACGCCCAGTTAGAAACGAGTCTAATCATCTAATGTGTCCTTCGGCACATCCGGTAAAATTGGAACGATACAGAGAAGGGTAAATTAGCAAATGGCTCTCCGCAAGGATGACACGCATAAATCGAGAGGTAGTCCCAATCCAGCTGGTTTGTTTGATGTACATGTGGTTTTGAGGGCAGCCGTAACATTACCTAAGGCAACATAATTACCTGTAACATTACCTAAGGCAACAAAATTACCTTAGGGGAAAACAATGCGCACTCTTGTGGTACTATTGGACTTATCTTTTTGCTGGAATTTTTTTTAGTTGTAGATGATGATTACATTCCAATAAAAAAAGAAAAAAAAGGGAAAAGAAATGGGTCTAATGAACGACAGCAGGGGAATAAAAAAGAAATAAAAAATCAACTGCACTATATAACTGAAGTTACTGAACAGTGAACACTGTTATGATGACCAATGACCATACATCTTTTCTAGCAATCTGAAAGGATACATGTCAATGAATCCAATCCAATCCAATCCTTTTGGAGTGTTTCTTGAACCCTTTTTCCCCATCTTTCTCAACTGCTTCCCCAGGGGGGGGGAGGGGGGGGGTGGGGCACAGAAGTCCTAACGTAGTGGCCACCGGACAAAAGACCAGTGTGACCAAAATGTTCAACATTCGGTGGCCAAAAGACCAGTGTGACCAAAATGTTCAACATTCGCAGTACTTGAGATGAGACGTTTTTTTAATTTTTCTTCCGCGTCACAGTGCTCGTTTGATCCGACGTGGCACAACAAAGATGCATGACCTCCAAGAATCCGAGATAAAGTGAAATTTGCAGAATGTTCAATGCGTTGGAAACGTCCACGACTGTCCCTTCATCCTACCCCCTTTTCCTTTTTTGGTTTGTTTTTGCAGTCACACCTCCCTTTTTCGACTTTTTATCAACCCACCTGAGCCACCTCCCTTTAATGTTTTTGTTTTCCAATCCCACCTCCCTTTTTTTTTTTTTTTTGATTTTGTTTCAATCCTACCTCCCTTTTCCATTGAATAACCCCAGCAATTTTTGTCCAGTTGCTGGTTGGTGTGAAGCACTGCACTGAGACGGCTGCTCGTCGAGCGTAATTGTCTCAAACGAGGAGCATACAAAGAGAGCTACACAAACATTACAAATACATGAAAGAATATCCAATTGTTCTGTCTACGCCGCCACCTCCTGTTTTTTTACTACTTTTTATCGTCTATGCCTTTGATATAGGGAAGGGATAAAAAAATCCACAGAATGGCTAAGTCAGCACAATGGCATGAGTGACCACAGTGAAAGGGCGTCGTGATTTTAGTGCCGTGAACTAGAGCTCCTAGTATGCCTTAATTAACAGGGATGGGGCTCCGACGCTCCGTGCTTGAGTGCGGAGCAGGACAACACGGCGGTTCGTCATGTTCTTTCAGACGGTGTGTTTGCCTTGGGCACCGGGTCCTGCTAAATAAAGCCATGATGGCAGTATATAAAAAAAAAAAAACAGGTCCTGCTAAATAAAGCCATGATGGGCCCGATGGCAATAAAAAAAAAGGGAAAAGGAAAAAGGAAATAGGGAAAATGGCAAAATGCCAAAATCGTGAAGGTAAAAAATTTAAAACAAAACAAAAGAAAAAGACTTGTTCCAGCGAAAGGTACCTCGGAATAGCTCTCTGAGATGGACAGGGCAGCTGCTGTGTCTGTTTGTCATCCACCGTTGACTCGATCAATCCAGTTGGTTATTCAATCTCCTCTTTTATTGGGGATCTCCTCGCTCTGGTATATCCTCTTCTCCTGTTTCCAAGGCAGGACTTCACCTAAAACCTCCGCATCTCTCGAGGGGGCTTGAAATTAATCGGATGTGTCTCTGGCGTTGCTCTGCTGTCCTCTTTCCAGAATTTAATGGTTTTGTCTGCTTCACACGTAACTAGTCGGCTCCCAGTTTGATCGAATGCCATTGCGAAAATCCCAGCTTCGCTTTCGAGAGATCCTGCAATACGCACATGGAGCAAAGTAAACGACAAAAAAGGACAACGAAGCCGGTTGTTGCACAACCAAAGTCAGAGTGGAGAGCCCTACAGAAATAAGAACATCACTCATCTCAATTGGGATAGTATACTACTATGCATACCACCCTTTTTTTCCCTTTTTTTTTCACACCGCCTCTACCTCCGAGCCTCTTTTGCCGAGTACAGCACGCCAAGCGTTTTGTGGAGGCCCCAGCGCGACCTCTATTGTTTTCTGTTGGCTGGCGCCTCCAGCCATTTTGGTCCGGTGGCGCCGGGCCTCCGCCGGCCTCCGAAGAATGCGGTATATCGGACCATAGGTCATATTTATATTTATGACTTCGACTTCCAGCCTGAAAGGTAGTGGTCGTTTAACGTCCAGTCAATTTTTCTTTTCTTTTGTTTTTTGAACTTTTTTTCAAAGAAAACTTGCAGTTTTATCCCTCTACTCTTAAAGGAAACAGCGGGTCTCGCGTAACGCTGTCGTTCAGATACAACTTCATACCTGCACGAAACCGGGTGCAGGAGCTCAGATCCGGGCCCCCCTTCGTCCACTGCTATCCACATCCACAAACGCCAGCTAATACGGCGGTGTATTTTCCCATGTTCTAGCGGAAGATTCATTTGCACATTTGCACATTTGGTTAGTGGCACCGTGTTGTTCACACTGGCACTTTGGACGGCCGCACTCCACTACTCACCACGTGCACAACAAACGAAAAATATGGCTGTGCATTGTCCCATGTTCTAGGGAAGATTCATTCCCATTTTGCACATTTGGTGACTAGTGGAGGGAAGCCCTCATACTGACACTTTCAAGGGCCTCGCTCACTGGACAAAATGAGAATGAATCTTCGGGTAGAACACTGAAAGAGGAGGCAGGCCGTTTGCCCTGAATGGAGGAAAGGCACATGTGCTACCATAATTGCAATTGGATGCATCCAGGCGGTGGGATGTATATAGGAACGAGGGGTTTAGGCTTTTTTTCTTCCTTTTGTTTCCCAAGAGGGGCTTAGGCTTGGTTGCCGTCTGATCTGTAGATCTCACGGCTGCGCTTGCCTACTTTTTTTTCCAAGAGGGGCTTAGGCTTGGTTGCCGTCTGATCTGAAGATCTCAAGGCCGCAGTTGCCTATGTTGAGAAATGCTCGAAATGAAGACTAAAGCCCCACTGGTGGGACTTGGCTCCATGTTCACCCATAATTGCACTCAGTGCTCGGCTTTCTTTTTTTTTTTTTGTTGAGGGGTGGCATTGTTTTTTTCTTCTTTTTTGTTCGGCGGGAGGGGAGCGCAGGAGGAGCACTTCTGCCATCCGGCCATGCACAGTCACCTGCGTAGGGAAGACACATGACCGTCATCGTCAACACACTGTTATATGTAAGACAACTGAGGCCGGGGACGACACACCGTTTTTTTTCCTTTCGTTTCCCCCTCGTGATTCCTGTCCCATCTGCAGCGGGCATCTGCTTGTTATATATACGGAAAGATACCACTGAGGCCAGGAGGGAATTCCTCAACATCTGAACCCGGACTGCTGGGGCCATTACCCAGATTTGGCTTGAGCTGGAAACCGGGGGTCCAGCGTCTCCTTTGTGTGCAACTTCAACCAAAGTCGAGACTGGACAAATAAACACAAAAAACAGAAATAAAGGAAGAAAGCTCAAGAAACTAAGCTGCTGCCTCGTAAGAGACTGTATCCTACTCCTGTTACGTCCTCCCCTAAGGTCCAGTGCTTATGGGCCCAGCTCCATTCCACTGGGCGGCATGGGTGCGTAATTTGCCTAGATGGACAAACAATAGCCTGTGTAAACAACTGGGCTATTATTGGCCCAGACGGAGAAACAATAGCCCATATGTCATATGGACGATTGAGCGGCCAAAATAAGGGTGCCCTTAGAGAGAAAGCACATTATGGCAGGTGAGCTCTTCGGGGTTAACAGAAAGAACTAAATTGACAATTTTGTGAAGAACTAAATTGACACGTTTGTGAAGAACTAAATGACCACTTGTGTGGTCACCTGACTCGTGTTTCAGTGACCGACAAAACAGACGTACATCACAGCTTTTACAGAGGGCACCCAACACGATACAGAGCCATGTATGGAGCAGCACAAACAGAAAGAACATATCCAATTCCCCCACACCATACAGGGGCCCCACACCAACCAAAACACACACACACACACACACACACACACACACAGAGAGAGAGAGAGAGAGAGCAAAAAAAGAGGACACACAGAGAGAGAGAGAGAGAGAGAGAGAGAGAGAGAGAGAGAGAGAGAGAGAGAGAGAGAGAGAGAGAGAGAAGCTGGTAACGACCTGGTTGCACAACAGTTTGCACTTGCTGGAAGTTGTATCCGCTTTTCCAGTCCCAGAACCACAGACTCCCATTATCACCTGCAAAAAACACAGGACAGGATGTTTGTCAGAACAGCAGGACATCCTCAATGCACCGCACAAAATGCAAGTCCAGAAACAAGAGAACTGGCGATCTTTGGCTAGAGATCGGTTGGGATTGGGTGATTACACTGATAGACAGAAAGAAAACCAAAAATGGGGAGTAGCCACCTACAGTCTCCCTGCACCTTCTACCCATAGCAGCGCAGCAGAGCTGCTTCCCCCAACCGACAGGCTGCCAACATCCGCCGTAACTTGCAATGGGAGGCACAATACCAAAGACATGTGAAGCAGACACAAGTACTTGACCTGTGTGTCTGTGGGGTTTGCACCGAGTGCACACGCACCTGGTCTCCTTTCTGCTCAGCGCATGCTAGCTTTGCCCCAAAGGCAAGTAGACTTTATGGTGATGTCCCACTTTTGCTGTGAACACTTACCCGACCAGGCCCGAAAAATACATACAGGGTAACCGGCGTTCGGGACGGGCCCAACGCCCGAATGTATGGGACCCCTTGGGGATGCGTTCGGCCGTTCGGGCCGAACGCGGACCTAAAAAAAAAAAAAAAAAAAAAAAGTCATCAAAAAAATCTGAAAAAAAGATATGCTATGGAGAAAAAAAATTAAACAAGATTTGCCTGAGCATTACATCCAAATTCCTTACCAAATTTGAAATAAAAATAAAATACGGAAAACAAATACTAATAATAAAAATAAAAATAGAATTAAATTTAGTGAGTGCGCGAGCATGTTTTCGACACCGCCATCTTTGGCGATTTTTCATTTTTTTTGGCATAGCTAAATGCCCTAAAAATTTACAGACGTGTACCTTACATAATACAAAACCCACTAAAAAAGTTTCAAAAAATAATAAAATTGTTTAGACCCCGAACTAAAGTGAAAACAAAAAGTAAAAAGTGAAAAAATGTGGGCGAGCACGTTTTGACACCGCCATCTCTGGCGATTTTTAATTCTTATTTGGCTTAGCCAAATTACTTGAAAATTTACAGGCATGTACCTTACGTCATAGAGAACTCACAAAAACAAATTCAGAAAAAAAGAATTATTTTTAGGCCCCTAACTAATTTTTGGCGGGGGCCGAGCGCCGTCGGGTTCGGACCCCGTACGGACCCCGAACGCCCGTACATACGAAGGTCTGCCCGGGGACCTCCGTACGTACGGGCTGGTGACCCTGTATATATATATCGTCACAAACAGAACTGCCCGGTAAACCGTAGGCAGAGAGAGAGAAGAGGACAACAAACGAGGGGCTGTGACAAACTGTTTCGTCGGAGTTTCACCGACTCATCAGGAGTCTGAATATATATATTTATTATTATTATTTTTAATTTAATTTTTTGATATTTAAATTTGGTAAGGAATATCGATGTGACCCTGAGGCAAAAGTTGTTCACTTTATTTTTCTGCATAAGATAATTGTTTTTCAGAATTTTTGGATTCCTTTTTTTTTTTTTTTTTTGCTGCGACCTTCAATGGTCCTTGCACGGCCCGGGCAGCCCGGCAAACAAGGTGACCCGGGCAGCCCAGCTGGTAGCCTAGATATGAAAGCAAATGGTTTTGAAGAATGCAAATCCTTTTTTTTTTTTTCTTTTTTTTTTTAAAGGCTAATTCTTTTAAGCCCAACCAATTCAATTACCTGTCAAATCTGGACAGGACGGCCTTTCAGGCCTTTTTTATTGTCATTATGGTATTACCGGGAACCCCGTAGCAGCCACATCCGTGCTCAAGCCTCCAACGAGGGAACATGCGGGAGCTGCACCCACCAGCAGGTGCGATACCTGCTACAGCAGGTGGGCGATACCGGCCAAAGGTCAGACGGTAGCATCAGGACCGAGCTTCTTCGATGGGCCAGTCACTGTGCCTCCCCTCCCCCTATGAACATCAGCAGTCTCTGCTCAATGCCACTCGGGGGTACCAACAACATATCTCTAGGTGGCGGGCGCCAAGGTTGCCCAGGAAGGTGCATGAGGCCAATGGGGATTGAACCCAAGACCTCCTGAACGCCACTTGCGTGCCTTACCAACTGAGCTAAATCCTTTTCATCCTCTGTGTATTTATCAACTCCGCTGAAAACATCCGAGTTCACGCACAATTAGTTCAATTCACATTACATTCACAAAAAAGGGGGAGATAAAGATCTTGGAAATTGGAATACAAAATCAAGTTCGCCGCTTCACTTGGATAGCATGCCCGGTCATTATCACTGTATCTAGAGTCCAGACTGAAAGGTTTCCAAATACATGAGAAATCTCAGTTGCCCTCTTTACGCAAATGGAACGCCGACCATTTTCCAGCTTTCTATTTGCGTAAAGACGGTAACTGAAATTTCTCGCGACCACTCTCATTCTCTCGCGACCACTCATTCTCTCGCGAACTGAATCTACTCTTCACACATTTCCAGTGTGATTGCTGGATGAAGTGCCTGCTTTCCATGCAGATAAAACGGGTGTTTCACCCTTTGCACTCACCATCACATCAACTTCCGTCTCCCTCCTCATTCTTTTTTTTTTTGTGTGTGTTTCCTCATCTTCCGTCTCCATACCTTTTAGCTGCAGAGATGTTTTTTCTGCAAATGTGAAAACTCGTGTTCCACAGGAGAAATTCAGAAATTCGATTGCAAGGTGCTTTGCTTGATGGCATCAATCATAATAGCCTTCTACCGTCATCACCCGAATAGAATGCCCGGCCGTCATCGCTGTACGTAGATAGAAAGTTACACTGAATAGAACAATAGAATGACCGAGGAATCAAGGACTCTATTCGCCTGAAGCCGGTAGCCATCAAAGCAGATGTGTGTAAATGCTGTGAAGGCCCTAGAGGGTGGGGATAAGAGAGAGGGAGGGAAAAAGGAATTTCAGCAAGCTGAACACTGCCGACGAGAGAGACATCCTCCAGCCATTGGGGTTGGGAGCCACAACAGAGGGACAGTTGTGACAACAACAACAACTGCAAGATTGGAGATTTTGAGTGGGGCTTTGCTTGGACTATGTTGTTTTCTCCGCTACACTAATTTGCATCACAAGTGAGGACCAGCAAAGAAAAGGGGCAAATGAAGAGTAAACAAAAGTTATGCTCACCTCCCGAAACAAGAACATTATCCTCATTGATCGCCATTGTGTTCACAATTGTTCGCTGCTGTGACCTATGGAACGCAGTTCACAGGACGATTTACAGAATACAAGAGCCAGAATTTGTATGACGGTGGTGAGAACCGAGTGATAACAATAACAAAAATAAGGGGAAAAAAAAAACGACAAAACCAAAAGCAGAAGAGATGGTGATTTTTTGGCCACCAGCGTCACTTCGTTTAGAGGGAGAATCACATTTTTGCAACTTTTTGAAAATTCTCACCTTCACGTCACTCCTATACTTCTTTTTTTCACTTTTTAAAAGGGCAATGGCATTGAGATATCATCCTCCTCCTTGAACTGATCGGCCCCAGGTAATTCAGAAAATTATTTGATGTCATTCATATGGTATTATGGATACGAACCATACTTGCAACCGCACGAGCCGCACATTCGTGCGGAGTTCCGTGCGGGGGGTGCCTGTGCGGAATCATGCAGGTTTTTTATTTTTATTATTATTATTTTAGTTTTTTTTGGGAGGGGGAACGGGGGGCGTATGACAGGAAGATGGGGATATGGCGAGGAGAGGGGGATATGGAGAGGAGTATGTGGACAAGGAGGACGACAAGGATAGCGAGGACGACGAGGAGGACTCGAGATGGAGGAGGAGAAGATATGGACGGAGGGAAAAGAGGAAGGGCAGGAGGAGGAGGACGAGTGGGAGGAGGAGGAGACATGGACGGCGAGGAAGGGAAGGACACGAGGAAGGGAAGGAGACGAGGAGGCATGGAAGATGAGGAAGTACGAGGAGGAGGAGACGAAAAGGAGAAGGGAGGAGGAGACATGGAGGATGAGGAAGGGGAGGAGGCGCAAGAGGAGGCAGTACTCCTGTAATTTTTTTTTCCATCTCGCTTATGATTTTGGCGGGGGGGCCTCAAACGCACCGTATCGACCCCGGCCTTTTTTTTTTCTGAGGGTGGTGACGGGTCGTTCTCCGCACAGGATCCGTTGGGCGCGTGCGCCGCACGTAGGGAACCGCCCGCACGATGTGCGCTTGCATGTATGATTTGAACCATACTTGCGACGCATACGTGAGTTGCACTACGCAGTGCGGTGCGCTGATCGCAGATGCACCAAAAAAAAACGTGATGTCCGTATACATGCTGTGGGGAGAGAGAGAGAGAGAGAGAGAGAGAGAGAGAGAGAGAGAGAGAGAGAGAGAGAGAGAGAGAGAGAGAGAGAGCCCTTCCACATTATTCAGACAACCCCTGCCAGGTAATCAAAAGGTCCCTGCCAGGTAATCAAAAGGTCCCTGCCAAAAATTGGCAAGGGTCCCATCGGCAGGAGAAGGGTACTTGCTGGACTTGTAGTAAGGAGGAAGCAGGCCAGCTATACATGGCGAGGCCCTTAGGGTCACTGCACGTAAGAAAGGAAAAACAAAAAAACGAGACAGCTACTGTAGTATTTGTAGCAAGTTCGTAACCCATAACTCTTGGAACACAGACCTGAATCCGAATCCATAATATATTGCTGGCCTGCTCGTGTTCCTCCAGCAGTTCAACGATCGTCCTTCCAAATGAATGGGTTCCCTGCTAATTCTTTGCAGGGGACCCTTTGAAAAAGAGGCTGAATCCAATGAGGAGTACGATGTGGCCCCAAATTATATTGTTTCTGTGCACTTGCAATATTTAACGGGGAGGCAAACATTTGGTTATCACAGTCTGCCCTTCTGAATTTTTTTTTTTTTTTTTTTTTAAATTGCACCGCATCACGTGCGCGAGCGCTATGCGGCGCACGTGCGCAGCTTGCGCACACGTGATGCGCCGCATGTATGATTCAAACTCAGCTCTGTATTTCAACAGTCTATGGGTGTACCAACTAAGATGGGTCCGTTGGTGTCGCTCTTTCACCTTGCAGCTTGAGGAATTTCAAAAACGTCAACCTACACGCCATTTGCACTCTGCTCAGGCCACCCTCCTTCCTCGCACCTGACAGGTTCCACATATACTTGCTATCATTGAATCTCCTTCCACAATCCCTACGACAACACACTAGTTCGATTGTCAGGTTCCTTGGCAGGTAATGCTGGTGAACATGTGAATGGTACTCCGCGTGTGTACTCGGCACATGTAAACTCATAATTCCCTCAGTTGCTCTCACCCTAGCCTGTGGCTGAGTACACACCTTTTGGTAATGACAGTGGTAAATGCAGCAAATCACTGCAAGACATGAGGGTCATGGCACCAAGGCGAGCAAAGAATACCTTATAGGATATCCTCCTCCTCCAGTTCCTTCTCCTCCCCCACCAAGGCAAGCAAAGAGGACCTCAGCATCTCCTCCTCCTCCTCCTCCTCCCCCTCCTCCTCCTCCTCTCCTCCTCCCCCTCCTCCCCTCCCTTCTTCTCATTCTCCTCCCCACAAATGATCATGCTTCTTTAGACAAGGCAAAGGAGTCTCTGTTTTTCACCATTCTCTGTGGAGAAAGGCAGGGAAGGGATGAAGTAATCCAAACGAATCAAGATAATTCAATCATAATTGGATTATTATATTGGACATATATAGTCAAAAAGACAATATTATGTCAATATATCGTCAAATAGAGCTGCCCGGTAAACTGTGGGCAGAGAGGGAGAAGAGGACAACAAACGAGAGGGGCTGTGACAAACATTTTCGTCCGAGTTTCACCGACTCGTCAGGAGGTTGAATATGCGTTAAAAGCATCTTTCGTACAATCACAAACATTGCCGACTTTCCAGAGCAGCAAAATCCGAATTCCACATCCGGTATCTCTTTTGGTTACTCACAGCATGTTGTGGAGGAATTCTCCCATCGGTGGCTTGAAATCCTTGGACAGTTTGAATTTCTTGATGTTATCTGCAGATGAAGACGCGAAAGAGTGCCTGCAAAGCACATCCAAACCACGAGAGTAAGGAAACGAAATCAAAATGTCCCTGCTGCTCAGTTTCTCTACTCTCCTAGTAAAGGTGCTGTCTACAAAACACATCCAAGAGGACATATACCTTCTTTGCCGACCATCATCCGGAATATGTCGAATGAAAAAGATCCACCACCATGGTTAAACCACCAGTACGTCCACGTTTTTAGGTTGTTAACGCGGTGGCCAAATCGGTGCGCCGCGCAGGTCCATATGCATTTGCCTCAGAGCCTCCCCAGAGGGGGCCTAAGACCCCCTGGGGTACTGGTGGTTTCAACAGGAAAGCAAACCAACGAAATTATTATGTGCACGTTGAGACCATCCCTGCCTAACATCCAGTGCAGCAATCAGGCACAAAGACTGCTCGACGGTGCTCGAGTTCTTGAGCAGAATCTTCACAGCTATACTGTCTTCCCCTGAACATAACCCACCCTGATAACGAATGTATACAGGCTACATTTCCGGTCACGTACACAGCCAAAATGAGGGTGCGTTGTATTTGGGGGAATAACAAGTAAGAAAAGATCTGATGACGTAATAAACAACAACAGTTACTAGACTGTAGTTGAGCCCGTGAGATCATCCGCTTGTGCTGATCAATGATAACAAGGTCAGGTCGACGGTTCAACACACTGCTCCATACAATAACACAGCCATAAATCAACAGAAACAAAAGAAAAGAAAAGAAAAGAAAAGAAATCAAAAGAAAAGAAAAGAAAAGAAAAGAGGGATGCTGAATGGGCAGAAGAGTCCCGGTTACCAGGCAAGACCAGGCACACCCCATTCGGTTACAGAAAGTCCACCGCTGAATGGGCAGAAGAGTCCCGGTTTCCAGAACTCGGCTTGCCCAGTTGATCGGACAGAAAGTCCACTGCTGAAATTGATGCAAGCCGAGTTCTGGAAATCCACTGCCGCAGGGTGCTTCAAGCCAATTTTGAGATTCATAGAGGAGAACAGTTTGCAATTGCACCTCTTGCAAAGCCCCTGCCCCCCATCCCCCGGCAGCCAGCTCCTCTGCACTCTGTTCACCCAAAGTCGTACCGCTGCCCCTAAAACACTTCACCTCCCACACATTTCATCACCTCCACCCCACCCCCAATTGGCCCCCACATTAACTATCAACAACTCAACATGCACAAACACCTCCGGGCATCTCCCCCACACTCAAACTCCCTTTCCTCCCCCTTTTCCCCCATCGCCCGGCAGGCCCCTCCAACCTCTCGCCATCTCCCCTGCACTCTGTTCACCCAAGGCAGTACCGCTGCCCCTAAACACTTCTCCTCCCACACATTTCATCAGCTCCACCCCACTACTTTGGACGTGACTGCTTCACGCCACCACCCTACCATGTACATCCCCTTGCATGTGTCGCATGATGGTTCTCACTTAGCTGGGTCTCTCTGAGTTGGGCTCTCTCCCTTCGTATCGCATAGGCATTGGGACCGTAGCGTTATCTTGGCTTCCCTTCTCCCAGATCAAGCTCCCTCCCCCAGTCGGTGAGTTGTGTGCATGTTTCCCTCACCCACTGCATCCCTTCCCCCTTCCTCCCTTCCCACATCTCCACCTTCCCCGCTGCCCCAAAAGAGGGCAGTGATACTGCAGGAGAGCCCAGGTGACTGGGCTACACCAGGCAGGCCCCGAGGCAGAAGTCAATTAGCGGACCACAAAACGAAGGTGCAGACAATTGCATGCAGCCAAATTACATGAGAACAGAGCTCTCATGAGCCTATACAAAGTGCATGGCACAATGTGTTTAAAGTTGAAACGTCGAAAATGTGCAGAATTTCAGAGGACAAGAAGGGTTCTACAAACCCGGCTCATGTGGCTGAATGGCATACACATGTCACTCTTGACAAAGTGATCTTGAGTTCAAACCCTGGCAGAACAAGATCGAATGACTGTAATAATCTTAGGGGCTACTCTCTTTTCTAAAACAGAAGGTGTGTACAAGATTACATACTCAAATGGATGCATGACTAGTGCCCGCACAGACTTCTTGTGGTGTGTCAGCGTCGCCATGCATTTGCCTGCAGTCACAGAAAACCACGAAGATGATGAAGAGGAAGGAGAAGGAAGTCAGTGCCTCATCATGTGTGCAACACCACTCACTGGCAATACATCTGGCACTATATCTGCGAAAAGATCAATAACCACGCGTTCTTTCTTCGGCCAGGAACAGAAGATCACAAACACATGTTTGCAGGCTATGACACCCAATTGGCCTCACTCTGGGCACCAACGGATGACTTAGGGGTTGGCTGCAGTTGTGCTGTCTACACTCCGCTTCTGCCTTGCTGCCGTCCTGCTTGCTCGCATGTCGTTCTTTCCAGCTGCTGTGTTCACTGTGTGGTGTTGCTGCATTGCCGGTTTTGCCTTGTGCTTCGCTGCACTGCCGCCTTGCTGCCCATCCCTAGGCCTTGCCTTCCGTGCTCTCCGCTTGTGTGCAATGTAGTGTGGCTGCTTTGTTGGTGTTGCCTTCTGCTTCGCTACACTTTTGCCGTGCTGCTCATCCGCATGCTGTGCAGTCCATGCGGTTAGTATTTGGCGTTGTGCAGTTGGGTTGCTCCGGCAGCGTTGCCTGGTGCTTTGCTGAGTTGATGCCTGCTGCCGCTTGTGGACAGTCTGCCTTCAACAAGGGTCAGACGGGTTCATGACCCAAAACATCAATACGAGGATTCCGCAGATTGTCGAGGGTTCAGCCTCCTGACGAGTCGGTGCAAGTCCGACAAAACAATCTCTCGTCATCACCTTTATTTTTTTCGCTCTTTCTATTTTGATACTTGTCTTTTTTGCCTCCACGTCTTGTGCCGTCTATCTGTCCCCCGGTCTTTGTCCCTTGCTGCCGCTTGTTACCTCATGCATGTTGCTTTCCCTGTCTTTTGTCTACCGCAGCCCTCCTTGCCCTGTATTGCTTGTCTTGCCCAAAGGCCTCCCCGATGCCTTCCAGCCCATGTGCCTTCCTGCCTCTTGTTGTTTACCATATTGCCTCCTTGCCCTTTTTCACTGTGTTTTGCCTCATTGAACAGCATGTAATGTGTCTATGTGAATCTAATCTATTTACAACAAGTGTTTTGAACCAGTGTTTCCAACTAGAAGATAAAATATGTGCGTTCTGTAGTCCACCAGTACGTCCTGACCGATATGTTGGTATGGAGCATGTTTGGCTAACGTGCTGAAGCTATCAGAGATACGTTCTTTATTGGCATACTTACACACGCACACCCACCCACCCACCCACACACAGACACACACACACACACACACACACCAGGATACCTCAATAGCAGCTTTCGGTAAAGTGCTGAAGCTATCAGAGCTACGTGCTTTATTGGCATACTTACTCACACACACACACACACACACACACACACACACACACACACACACACCCACCAGGATACCTCAATAGCAGGTTTTCTTCACAATCAGAAAACTAAGGCAGTCGCAAATCGATGGACAAGCATGCAAATAATTGGCCAGTAGATTCAACTAACCAGCTGCAAGATCCCAAAGCTTCACTGTAGAATCATGTGAACCGGTGATGACTTGAGGGTCCTGCACAAGGCAGCAGAGCAAGAAAACGACAAAGTCAGATGAGACGCCCAAGATTACTGTAAAAAGGTGAGGTGAGTAGCATCAAACAGATGCTCAATCTGCTGGAAGGGTCACAAACTCAAAAATGGAAACAAGAAAGTAACGTGATCAAAGGTAGTGCCCAGAGCTACACAATCAACCAGAGCACAACCGCTCCAAGAGGACAGATACAAAAGCACAACAGCAGAGGAAATTGGGAGTAAAACTGAGGCTTCAAACAACAAACAAATCTTTTGTACTAATAACGTTCTCAAAATCTCACAAAAGCAAAAAAAGAAACAAAAACGAACAAAGAATCTGGGACCAAATGGGCCCAAACAAGGTAGGTCTGTGAGAAGTAGGATAACCCACCGCAGCTTGTGTGATGACAGAGCATACTGTACTATCATGGCCCGTCAATGGATAAATCTGAGCCTTTGTTCTGATGTCCCAAACCTGCAAAACAATCCATAGCAGAAAAGGCGATGGGATGGGTTTATAAGCAAAAGAGAGTCGAAGCAATGACAAATCTCCCTCCAAACGAGAAGACCCACATCGACGACTCCATTTGCCTCCAGAAGGAAGAGTTAGTTGTTTTCCTTCTCACTGAGAGTCGAAGCAATGACAAATCTCCCTACAAACGAGAAGATCCACAACGATGACTATGTTTGCCTCCAGAAGGAAGAGTCGGTTGTTTTCCTTCTCACTCATTTTTATTCATTTTCTGTTTCATGATTTCTGTCTTACGCCCTGCATAGCACCGTGTTCGCGTTCGGAGGCGAACATGAACAAGCGCCCAAAACCCTCCGAATGCAAACATAAAAAATATTGTTAAAAAAACAGTTTTCAGAAAAATCTGAAAAATATATATATTATGTAAAATATTAATACGCACAACTTTTGCCTTGGAGTCATGTTCAAATTCGTAGTTAATCACGAGTTAAAAATAAAAAACCGGAAAAAAAATACATTCGTCCGAACATGTTCACGAGCTGTTCGCGCACACGTTCGCACGAACGTGAAGGGGCGCGAAAACATTCGCCGTGCTACGCAGCTTACGACTATCTTTCTTCTGTATTGAAAGATTCGAAAATACACTTTCCCCACACATTGCAATTTGATTGTTGCAAAAAGAAATCCAGGAAACGATCCCTGGTACCCAGGCAACAAAACCCATACGTAAAATAAGAAGGTTAGATACCCAGCTCTGCCGCATGGTCAACATGCCTTTCATGTCAGAGGCATCGATCAGACTGCTATCAGCCCACTCTGTTGAACGATTACAGACGTTATTCATACTCTAGATGACCTGTTGCGGCTTAGCTCACAAAAACAAATATGACAGGTGATGCATTAATGGTCCAGGCAACCSMCCMATGCAMTCTCTCTCTCTCTCTCTCTCTCTCTCTCTCTCTCTCTCTCTCTCTCTCTCTCTCTCTCTCTCTCTCTCTCTCTCTCTTGCAAACACGCGCGCACACTCTTCGTGTGGCTGTGTGAACTCCACGAAAAAAGCATGACTGTGCCAGACTGTTTTGTTGGACTTTCACCAACTCATCAGGAGGTTGAACCCCAACAGTCAGCCCACGATGCATTTGCCTGCGTGCGTGTGTGCGTGCATGTGTGCGTGCATTTGTGTGTGCATTTGTGTGTGCATTTGTGTGTGTGTTTGTGTGTGTGCTTGCGCAGGCGGGCATCCATGTGAGTGCATGTTGTCTCGTTCTCGCCTGTGCAAGTGCTTGTTGCCTTGCCCACTATTCAAGAAAGAAAACTATGCCCTGCATGGGACCGGTTTTTCCCCTGGCTGCAGCCGTACAATGGACCCTCTTTTCAACAGGCGCAACGATCCTGGCCGCCCACGATCCTACTGGGCGGATGGCTTGGATCCTCTCATGATCTTAAGACTTCAAGATCGTGCAACAATCCCGGCTGCCCGGCAGGGTGGATGGCCTGGATCGTCGCGCGATCTTAAAGTCTTGAAGTCTTAAGATCGTGCGGAAATCCGGACCGTCGGACCGGTAGGACCACGGGCGGCTTGGATCGCCCAATTCTCACGTTAGCGATTTCTATAAGTGTAGGGACAAGATCCACTACCTCCGAGACTCTTTTTACCGAGGCGGATTCCCACTGAGGGCCAAACTTTGCTGAAACGCCAGCGCGGCGTTTTGTTTTGTTTTTTCCTTCTGACTGGCACCGTCAGCCATTTTGGTTCGACAGCACTGCTCATCCAGAGTCCTTGGAATGTCGCATTTGCGATTTCTGGTGTTGCCTGAGAAAGGTATTGATGGTTTAAAGATGGAGGCATGTACACACACAAAAAAACTTCCTCCTATTCAAATAGATATCCCAAGTGCCTCATATGAACTTTGTGAGCTTTTCGTTGACCCCTGACAAACAAATTTGAGTGTATGCTTACCCTACAAACGGAGTCGCGTCCACCAGTCATCAGGATATCCAGCTCGGGGTGCAGTGCAAGGCAGTACACGCCACTCAGATGTCCATGATACGAGCGAATAACCTGCAATCCGTCGTTGAACACAAAAAGCAGAGCCCACAAGCTTCAGCTCCCAAGACAAGAGAGGAAATGTCACGCACAGGGCAGGAGAGGCAACAATAGGGCCGCCGAGGCCACCACAGGAAGAGGGGGCAAGAGGGCACACGAGAGTATGAGACGGGTTGCGAGAATGTAGGGGAGCACAAAGGCAGAAGATCGCAAAACTGACAGTCTTCCTTGCTCAAATTTCATGCCGAATCACAGTCATGAAAGCCCCGGCTCTTTCACAAACTTAAAAGACCTATTTCCCTTCCCTCCTTCCCGTATCCCCCCAACCTCCCCTCTTCCCCAAATATCAATCACAGTCACCACACTAGGACTTTTCCGACTGAATACGGTCACAGTTCAAGTCAGATACATGCAGAGAGCCCTAGTTTGAGCATGCCCCTCATCATAAGAAGAGAATAACCATGTAGAAAAACAGAAGTTACAAAACGCGTCCTTCAGATCTGTTAAAATTGGAAACTCAGTTGGTTTGTGGCATTCAGGAGGCCGTGGCTTCAATCCGCCACGGCCCCCTGCGCCATGCTCGGTGTTCATCAGCCGAGATAGTTGGCTTGTCCCCCCTGGTCGGCTATGGTAGCCGAGATAGTTGGCTTGCACCCCCCTGGTCGGCTCTGGTACGGTCCTGGGTTCTCTCGGAGGCCTTCGCCACTGCCACTCCTCGCTGGGGGTTGGCTTCTAGGTCTAGAAGATTTCACCTGTCTCTGTATCCGGTAGCTTTCGGTTGGCTCCTCTCACTAGAGTTTAAACGTTACACATGGCTGCTGTGCTTTAGACATGTAGGTAAGTAGCATGAGGCATAATTGAGAGAAGAACGTACCTTAAACCACTAGTGCCTCCGCCAGCGTTGGGAAAATAGGGAAAAGTAGCAGTTTTCCCAAACTCCTAAAAATTTGGAGGTTGGGCCCATAGACGGCTGCCATTGATAAATCTGATCAGCAACTGTCGTTTCGTTTCGGCCTCCGAAAACGTTGCAGGCCCACCCGAGGCCCGCTATTTTCCCACGCAGCAAAGGTACTAGTGGTTTTAAGTCTTTTTTTGTAAAAAATAAGACAAATGCAAGGAATATGAGTGAGAACCAGTGTTGCACCCGCCGACCGTCGGCGGGCCTCGACCGGTCGGCTGCCGACCAGCCGACCGACCGACCGGTCGGCGGCCGACCGATCGGCGGGGTCGGGGTGCCGCAGTTTCGCGCGGCGGCGCAACCCGCCCGGTAGGCCCCCTTTTCGGCAGCGGGGTGGTTTTCGGTTGTCGGGGGTCGGCCTGGGAGGCCGCCGACCGTGCTCACCGACTTTTCCACGGTCGGTGGCCTTCAAAAGAGTGTGGCTGCCCACACTCTCCCCAGTCTTGTGCTTTGGGATTCGTCGGGCCGCCCGGTGAAGTGGGGAGAGTGCAGGCAGCTTGGAGATCGCCACGGAAGAGCTTCGTGGGGGGACTGCAGCTTCGACAGTGGTGTGTGTGTGTGTGTGTGTGTGTGTGTGTGTGTGAGAGAGAGAGAGAGAGAGAGAGAGAGAGAGAGAGAGAGAGAGAGAGAGAGAGAGAGA